CAGGTACACATGCATGTGTGTGGAAGCCAGAGAACAACATGGGGCTTCACTCTTCAGGTGCCATGTACTTTTGGGGGGGTACAGAATGTCTCATTGGCCTGTGTCTGGACATGTAATCTAGGCTGGCTGGCCAAGCAAGACCCTGCCTGCTTCTGCCTCCCTGCTCCTGAGATTACAATTTGTGCCTGGCCGGGTTTTTTTTTTTTTTTTTTTTATTTTGTTTTTGTTTCTTTGGTTTTGTGGGTTCTGGAAGTCAAGCTCAGGCCCTCATGCTTGCAAGACAAGCACTTTGCTGACTGAGCTATCTCACCCGTCCCTTAAATGTGCTTTAAAATACAGGTTTCTGAGCCCATTCACTGGTTTCTGATTCATTAGATTTGTGATAGCATCCTAGGAATTTGCGTTTCTAACAAGTTCCAGAAACTGTGGTGATACAGTTCCAGCAAAGACTACACTTTTTTCTCTCCATGAATATTTGTATTGCATTTATGTGCATTTCATACAATATATTTTAATAATATGTAGATTCTCTCTCTCATCTGTGCTCCCTATTGCCACCCTCACCAGATTTCATTCATTCTGTCATATATGTTAAGGCCTCAAGTTTGTGTACCCAGATGTCCCTTGGTGCAAGTTCATCCCCCAGAGTCTAATCAGTCTATCTAGTGTCTCTCCCTTAAGGAAGATCAACTTTCCCTCACCCAGCAAGTTCCATCTATCTTTTTGGCATCATTTAATTTTGTTTCATATTTATCTTTTCTAAGAAGCATATATTTAAGATTCGTGTGTGAGAGCACACGTGTGTATATGTAGGAAGGGATTCATCTATGTGCACAGAGGTCAACCTCAAATAACGGTCCCTATTATTTTATTAGATAGGTATCTCACTAGCACCTGGGACTCCCTGTTAATGCCAGGCTTGGTAGCCAGCAAGCCTCAGGGATCCTCCTGTCTCTGTCTCCCTAGCACTGGGATTACAAGCATGCTCTAATGTGACTGGCTTTCCACATGATTTTTCATGATCAAACTTAGGTCCTCATGCATATATAGTTTTATTCAAACCAGTTCTTGGTTTTGTGTTTATTTGTTTTAAAATAGGTTTCACTTTGTAGCCCAGGCTGGTCTTATAATCTTTCAGCCCCAACATCTTGAGTTTTGCAATTAAAGGTTTATGCCACCAAATTCAACTCAACCCCTTGTCTTTTAAGAATTGTGTTTAGGGCCTGTGAGATGGTGCAGTGGGTAGATTCTTGCCACCAAGCCTGATGACCTGAGTTCAGTCCCCAAGACCAACATGGTGGAAGGAGAGAATCAGCCCTCATGTTGTCCTCTGACATCCACCCACATACTATGGCATTCATGTATCACCACCACACCCTAAATAAATAAATTAATAAATAATAAATAAAATTTTAAAAGCTGAAATAAATTCAGTAAGTTTAATGTGATTAATGATATTTATACCTGTTTGTTCTTTGGTTGCTTGGTTGCTTGCTGTCCAGTTTGCTGGCTTGGTTTTTTGAGACAGAGTCTTGCTGTGTTTCTCAGGCTGGCTCCTCTGTACCACTAGGCCGACCTCTTACGGTTGTTGTTGGCTGTGGTTTGAAGAGGTGATACTGCTAAATTTTCCCACTCTAGTCTTGAAATCATCCAGATGCCTCAGCCTCCCAAGCACTGGGATTGTAGAGTGTAAGAACACACTCCCCTTTCTTTCCCCTTATTTTGTTTTTTTAAAAAATATATTTATTTAGCTTTTGTGCATTTCATACAGTTATTCTTAATCAAATTTAGACCCCATCCCCCTTCTATGCTCCCACATACCCCCCACCGAACCACATGCATTCCTTGATACATGTTAAGTCCCATCTGGCCAAGCATTTATACCCGATGTCCTTCAGTGAAAAATTCATCCACTGAATTTAGTCTAGTCAAGCCTATCTAGAGATCCTAAGGAAGATCTGCTCTCCTTCACTAATCAGATGCACCAATAGAAATAGTTTTCTGTGCTAGTCATTATGGTTATTACACTTTAGGGTTGGATTGGCCCATTGATTTTTTTCCTTTAGCAACTTGCTTAATATCCTCCAGAATTATAAGAGCTAGTCTTCAGGGAGAAGGCATTAGGCTGGGAAGGGAGGAGGGAAGGACATGCAGGGGACCATGGGGATGGGGTGGGGGAACTCAGGAGAAGAGGGATGGTGGGAGGCAGGTGATATCTATCAGGGGAGGGTGGGAAAGTGGGGGCACTTGGACTGGGGAGGGAGGAGAGAGGTTGGACGGGGGAGAGAGAGGAGAGATGAATGGAGCTTGGGTGGCATGGGAAGCCAGAGGGAAATGTGTTGGCTCCTGAACCCCCTGAGAAATGCACATATGGCATCTGAACATTAGTGCATGTGACTACCTGGGAGCTGTATGGCAAGGAGCATAGTGCCAGACAGGAGTTATTGGTCAGGTTAGTTTAAGAGACTCCCAAAATAACACAGGCTATTTCCGGAGCCCTTAGTTATCTCCAAGAGCTTGAAGGTAAGACCCTACTACTGGAGACAGGGCATACTTTGAACACAGGACTTGATGCAGTGGAGCTAGAACTGAATTTATTTTGTTTTTTGAGACAGGCTTTCCCTAAATTAGCCCAGAATGGTCTTGACCTTGAAATCTTTCTGACACTGACCCTGGAGTGTTGAGATTTTGTGCCACCGTGTACATGGCACCTTCACCTGTTCTTGATATTTCCTACCCCTGATGGTATCCAAAGACATTTTCATGAGAATGAGGAGATCAAGAACATTTTCGTAACAATAATAATGTTTTACTTACACTTTTTCTTTCTCATTCTTTCACAAGTGTATACCAGAGTTTTCCAGACACTACAGGACATGAGGATGTTAAATTGAACTCAAAATATCTACTTTCTATTAAGCTAAAGCGATTTCTACTAATGTAAAATAGTCTCACTTCAATGAATCTTTTGTTTCGTTTTGATTTGTAATGCTGGGAGTTGAGAGTAGGACCTTGTACATGACTATAATCTCAGCACTTGTTAGGTTGAGGCAGGGGGATCATGAGTTCCAGGTCAACCTGTACTATAATAAATGAGTAAATAAATACACTTCCCTTCCCTTCCCTCTTCTCCCCTCCCTTCCCCTCCCCTCCCCAACCTTTCCCTTCCTTTCCCCCCTTCCCCTCTGTGTCTCTCTGTTGTGTGTGAGTGCATGCTCCTATGTGTCCTGGTGTATGTGTGAAAGTCAGAGGACAGCCTTTTCCTTCCACCTCCTTTGGGACAGTGTCTCTCTCTCTCCTTAGCTGGGAGCTTTACAGTTAGGCTAGACTGCTTGCCCCAAGGATCCTCCTTTCTCTGCTTTCTCTGTGCTGGGATTAAAAATGCAGGATACCATGCCTGGTATTTTTACAGGAGTTCTGGAGATTGAACTCAGTTCCTAGCAAGTGTTTTGTTTTACCATCTAAACCACAACAATCTCAGTGTTCTGATTTTTTAATATTTTATGTGCATGAGTGTCACGAGCCAGGACTCTGTCCAGCAGAGTCCAGGAAAGATGACACAGACACCAAGGTGAGGTTCAAGCTTCTGTTTCTCTTTCTCCTTTATTCTCTCTTATTCTCTTCACTATGATGCTGGCTCTGTTCTGTTCTATTC